AGGACTGTCATGCTAATGTGTCTAGAGAGGAGGGGGGGGGACCGAAATTTGTATTTTTACACCAGAAGTACAATAAGTCGGTACTAAAAATGAGCCATGTCACTGATGTGAAAAAGAAAAGGAAAATTAATCAGGGTGAAAGTTTATAATCAATTTATTCCACTTTTTATTCAATGGTGAGAAATTTAACTCCGTATCACTGCTGGACTTTTATTCTTCTAGTCTGATTTTTTTCTTGTTCAATAAGAGAAATAGAAAGACTGAAAACTGCAGATAAAGTAACTAAACTACAAACAGTATGGCACTTTTTATAAAGTTTTTCAAAAACATACTTTTTTCACAATTATTTGGGGAATGTAGATTTAAATCGCAAATAAAAATCTTTTTAATACGTCTGTTAGACATTTTGAAACGGTCTGTTTCTCACCAGCAGCACTTTATAAAGGGATGAAATTAATATTGAGCGGTATTAAGTGTTCAGGTTTAGAACTCCGAAAGAGTTTCTCATGTAGCCCCTTAGTAAAATTTGTTGCTCTGCCCTGCTTTATATTATTTATGCTTATGTATGGTGTACAGTGGTGTATTATATTATTTTGGAGAAGCACTGGTTGTTCTGCCTCATTGCCATGTGATGGTATCATGACTGATTGTTACACCAAATCTGTCCATTCGTTTGAGTTTTAATGCACTGCTTTGTAAAAATGTATTGTCTCTTTACAAAAACATATTTTTGTTGCTGAATGTTGAGCTAGTAAAAATGAATAAGCTGTGATAGATAAGAAGATGAGGTGTCCTCCGAGTCACTAATGTTGGGAACTTTGCGCTGAAAACACTTAATATCCTGTTGTTCAAAATAAAATGTATGAATATATCACCACCTGTGCTGAGACTGGATTGGTTTGAAAATAATGTAAAGGTAATATTTCCCTCTTTCTAATTTTAGGTTCAATTTTGGAAGTTAGAGTTTTAAGTTGGAAAAAACACTTTTGACCCAAAGACGAGTCAGAATGAATTTAAAACTTGCCAAGACTTTGTGTTAACACTGATCATGATCCTGATATTTATTTATACACAAAGATTGAACTTTAACCTCCCAGGACCTCGGGTCCACATACTTGGACATCACATTGTGGGTTGTCTAGACCAGGGGTCTGCAACCTTTAACACCCAAAGAGCCACTTGGACTCGGTTTCCACACAAAAGAAAACACTGAGCCGCAAATACTTTTTGACATCTAAAATGAAGATAACACTGCATATATTGTTTTTTACCTTTATGCTTTGTGTGAACAACTAAGGTGTGTTGCTTATGAAATCCATGAAGTGCTACAGAGAAAATTACATTTTATTTATGTAATTAACACATTTTGAACTCTTAAAGAAATATAACCTAAGGAAAGACACCCAGCTGAACTAAAATGATCCATGTAGCAAACAAACTGTTGTGAGCCGCCACCCTTATATCGCCTTTGGGCTTTTGGAGCCTTGACCTGACTTTTAAAAAATAATTGGTAATAAAGCACTATGCTGCTGAAAAAAAAATAGATATTTGCAAAATTCTGCCTAAATATTTTACCTGGTTAATGTGTGTGGCGGGGCGTGGTCTGCGAGAGTCCATGGATGGAAGTTTTGTCCCTACGATTCTCTCCACAGTCATTATGACCCTTTGCAGAGCCTTTCTCTCTTTGTTCCCATACCAGACAGTGATGCTTGTGTTGAGGATGCTCTCGATCAGTCCTCTGTGGGCCTGGGTGCGAGGGTGATGGTTCAGGCCAGCTTTCCTGAGCAGCCTAATGAAATAACTCCCTCCCTGGCATAGCAGATGGTGATTTTTAGTTTTTATGGGCCGATGGGGGTTTTTTTTCATTTTTTTCCCATAACGGTATAAACACTGAAAGGTGGTGGATTGGCCAGATGAAGAGAGATGTGTAAAAATGACTCAGTTGTTTGGTGGTGGCTATTGCAGAGCTTCCACAGATTCAGTAACATTAGCACGTGGTGGAGGCCAGCAGATGCAACACGCTGGCAGGTGGATGACGGAAAGGCAGGAGGAGCAGAGACCCGAGGCGGTGAACTGAACTCCAGGTAAGAAGTTATGACCTGCAGTCTATCTGGGTCAGATATAAACCAAGTTTAGGTGGAGTTTATTTTCGTTATCCTGACTTTTTACAGTCATTTACATTTTCTAGATACTGCACCAGTACTGTGTGTAAAATGCCATCAAAAAGTTAATTAAGTTTTATTCTTTCTCACCTGTCTTTCTGTCTCCTTTCACTTATTAAAGGTTGCTATGTTAGAAAAAATATTTTGCCCTGCCATGCTGTTTATTGATGTGGCAAATGAATGGTTTATGAAAATATATCTAAATCTGTCATCAGTAATCAGTAATGATCATGTCTCACCTCTCCTCGGTCTTAATTTCAGGTTTTCACCATGTGTTGTAGATGGTTCAGGAGGTTAACTCGACCAACAGTCTACTTTCGGGTACTGTTTAGAATACCAGAATAGGGAGGATGGTGTAGGTTTACGTTTATTAGATTGATACATATATACCAACAAGACTGTACATCACTGTGACAACAGCGTTTGTTTTCATTCAAAGGATTTATGGTTTTTCCTATAATACCTGGTGGGCCGGTCTCTAGTCAAAATGCCCGGACCGATTTTTTTGTCCCAGTCCAGCCCTGGTTATTAGTGTGAGTAGGACGGAGCTCAAGAGCAGAATACGACACAAAATGAAGGAAAGGTGGCAAAAGCAATGGGAGGAGGAGAGGAAAGGGCGATGGCTGTACAACATCCAAAGGAAAGTGGGGGAAATGAGAAGTACAGGACGAAACAGGAGAGAGAGGAGACGATTATATCTCGACTGAGATTTGGACACACTGGCTTAAATAGCACATTATTTTTAATAGGTAAACACTGTACAGGGGAGTGTGACTGCAGCAGGGAACAGGAAACAATAGAACATGTTTTATTGCATTGTCAGAAGTATGATATGGAAAGGAGACAACTGATCAAAAAGCTGGACGAAATGAAAGTGGAGTTTGGACTTGTTTGATTTATTTCGCGGGAGCTCTATAAGTGAAAGCTATCAGGCTGTATTTTGGTTTTTAAGGCAGACCCATTTGTTCGGGAGAATTTGAATATTTTATTTTATTTATTTTTTTCATTTCGGTCCACACTTCACACCAGTTGGTGGCGGTAATGCACCATTTTGCTGTTTGCCAACCGCCAATAAACCTATACAGAAAAAGAAGAAGAAGAAGAGGACTGCCGGTAAATCATAAACCTTACCCTACGACAGCTGGGATAGGCTCCCCCGCCCCCCGCGATCCTGAAAAGGAGCGGATGGAATTCGTAACCAAACACAAAGTTTTTGTTTGGTGCCATTTACGCCCTACAGCTGTAGAAATTCGTTTAACTTGTAGTCTACTAACTTTTTCTATATTGGGATTGTTTATCGGGAGTTCCAAAATGATCCACAGTCATTTTGACTTATATTCAGCCTGATAGCTAAGGCGGAGGATAGCTTCTGTAGTCATAAACGCTAACGTTAAGAGACCTGTCGGACAATGGATATTTTAAAGATGTTGTCAGCATTAGAGTGTTTGTGTTTGTGTCTCGCCGTTCTGTTACTATCAGCTGAAGGTGAACCCGGTAAGGATGCCAATGCTAATTTTTACTTTACGGATATAAGTTCGTAGTCAGACCCAGCATTCATACTACTTAGCTAACTTATGCTAAGTAGTATGAATGCTGGGTCTGACTACATGCTTTCATGTCTTACTGAACTACTTGTGCAAATATATTTGTATATTTTTATATTAATATATTTGTATATTAACTTTACATTTTTATATAAGTGGTTTTCTTATGCTTATTGTGTCACTAAAAACTCAACCTTAAAGGACACATTTTGCTTAAAAAAAGAGTTAAAGCCTCGCTAAACGTCATCATCATCCAGTTTTAGTTAATTAGTAAAGTTAACTAAGATAAAAAGCCGCCTGCACTGTAAGATGCATTTGGAAGGTTGACCTAAAGTCTTTAAACTCTACTTTCACTACCTCTCCTCCTTGCACCTTCACTGTTCACACCTGTCTTCATCTCATTCAGGTGTATTCTGTGTGGTGTAGCTTCTAAGCTGGCTAAGAAATATTTTAAAGAGAGGAGTCCTTTCTAAGCCTCCTTACTTAGGTTATAACAACATAACTAATCACCTTCACACATGCAACAGGTTGCATTTACAGCTGAAAGCGACTTTGACTGTAGTGAGATCAGAAAAGAGAGAGTGATCCAAAACAGTAATACAGTAGTATTACTGCATTTTTATACCTAAAGGTCTGAAATCATCTTCACTGTAAAGTTCTGATGAAACACTTTTCAGACCACTTTTCAAGAGTGCAACGGCAAGTCGGTAATTCTATTTTTATCTAAACCTGTAGAAAAGGACGGTGAAATGTTTCTGTAAATGGAATAAAAATTTAACAAATGTTAAACTACTATGAAAGTAAGCTTTAAATAGATCTGGTCTCATTGTTGTCTTGTGGAGAACTTTCTTGGCTAACATTTGCTTAAATGTACTTTATTATAATTATTCTAAAAAATAATAGCCAGCAGCCAGGCTATTGTTTAACATACATGTAACCTGTTTTTACAGAGCAATGGGGTTCCATTGCTATCCCCATTTGTTCCCCATTATGATTAAAACATGTTTTGTCCTTCAGGTTCACGAATCAAAGTGGTTGTACTAGAAGGAAGTGACGCCATCATGCCTTGCTCACTCAGCACCAAGGAGAACATTGAACAAAATCTGTTTAACTGGAAGAAAGTTTATCCAAATGAACAGGAGGTGTTCAGGTACGATGGAGACCTTCATTACAATAATGGCCTTCCAGGTTAAGACGAGCACTTCATAGGACGGGTCTCACATTTTCCACTAGAGCTGCAGTCTGGTAACGCCTCCATCATCATCAAAAACACCGTGGTGCCTGACAGTGGAAACTACACCTGTGATTTACCTCTGCAGCAAAAACAAACATTCAGAATTAAACTTGTTGTTGGTGAGTATTTTAGTTTTAATGCATCTGGAAAAAAAAACCTTCTCTAAAAACTTATATTTTAATTTTTTTTAAATGTTGATGTTGTTTTGTCCACACTCAGTTGTACAGTATGTGGAAAAACAAAATACAAATTCACTCCTTATACACTAACATTTGCTTAAATGTACTTTTATTAAACATGGTGTGCAAACGCAGCAACAGTTTCATTACAAATTCAAATTTGCATGTAGACTTAGATTACATGTGAATACAGGTTGAAGCTGGAGGATCTCTCTGTAAATATCCCATAGGGGCCGTACAAGCGAGGTTCCTTAACTTTCGGTAGCTGTTGAAAGGATAAAATTGTGGTATATCAGTGGTTAGAAATACCATTATTTAGGGCTGTGCGATATGACCAAAATCTCATATCCCGATATAAGAATTCTATCGTCCCGATAACGATATAGCAGCTTGTCTTGCGGGAAGTGTTTCCAGCTGGGCGTCATGGACCTGGAGTCGAGTGTTTTAACAGATGAATGAAACTACACATTTTTAGACATAAGTTGTAACGGCCACCGTTTTCTTTGTGAGTATTTATTACACGGCGTGCTGCGGGGAAAAGCCTGTTCTAACGTTTGAGTCTAAGGTTTATTTTTTTAGCACCTGGCGGCTCTTTTTTTACTTCTCATCTGTAAATAATCTGCTCTTTCACGTGATTCAGTTTATTTTGAAAGGTCTCAACAGAATCCTGAGCTTTATTGTGAAAGGTTTATGTGGAACATAAACAAGCGGACACGTGATGCTGTTACCGTCGTTGTTGCTAACCACTGTGAAGTAGCGTGACATAAGCAGCATGGAAGGTGATAGGAAGACAGCATCTGCAGACTGTTCAAGTTTATTTTAAGTGTTCTTTATTTTCTGGCGTCGCCTTTCAACAATTATTTCACAAAAACATAAGAACCTCTCAGTCAAAATCTCACCTGCTTTATATAAAATTCTACTCACACCTGGATCTCATTAACCTCCACCATTGGGAAAACAGGGTAGACTAAATAACACAGTCTAGTCCAAAGAAACAGGAATAAAATTATTTTTCCACTTAACAAACTCATTCACCCAACTAAACAGTTTGAAAAGTCAATCTCTTCACTTACTCTGACTCATGGGGTTATTTTAAATGAAATAAACAATTTTACACAAAAGAAACACCCCTTCATTTGGTTACACCCAATTGACATGATCAGTGACATCATATCCTATAAAACCAGGAAGTACTGGGGCGGCCATTCCCACATACCCGTTTTACACATAGGACCTGTCCAGAGGAACACACAATGGTAAGTATAACCAAACTACATAAACAAATGAAAGATTCAAATCAATTAATGATGAAGTGACATTTAGCTTTAAGTACATTTGCACAGATGAAATGAATATAACCAATGCTACCACAAACAGACCCGGGATAGTATGTAGAGCCAAGGTTACATGTGCTGTGTTTACATTAAAGCATTATGATAGACTATAGGATAACAGAACACAGAATAACAACATACACAAGTGACAAATGGCAAATGACTTCTCTCCTAGCCACTTTGTCACAACCACAACGCATAAAAACAGGCGCTTGTCCGTCTGTAGTGTGGTTATATTAAATATAAGAGAAAGAGAGAACTTTAAGAAATTAATATAGCCACTACAGTGACCATCAAAACCATGAAAAAATATTGCCGTAAACAGTTTATTTTGCGGCACCACGAAACAAACGATAGCGTAAAATGAAACGATAGACAATTTTATATCGTCATCCGATATATATCGTTATATCGAACAGCCCTAGCATTATTACTTTAGGATTAGCTTAACACAAAGTCATGTAATTGTAGTAATGTCGTTTCTATCTCTGACTTTATGTTCTCTACAAGAGTTTCTGTTGTTTTATCTTCAAATGTTCAATAGAAACATGTATCGCCAATTCATAACAAAGAAAGCTTTGTTACTATCCCCACTAGTGAAGACTGTCATTTCCACAATACTGCTTTCCCCCCGAGGTCCGCAGCATTAGGGCTGTTCGATATAACGATATATATCGGATGACGATATAAAAAAACGTCTACCGTTTCATTTTACGCTATCGTTTGTTTCGTGGTGTCGCAAAATAAACTGTTTACGGCAATATTTTTTCATGGTTTTGATGGTCGCTGTAGTGGCTATATTCATTTCTTAAAGTTCTCTCTTTCTCTTATATTTAATATAACCACACTACAGACGGACAAGCGCCTGTTTTTATGCGTTGTGGTTAGCAACAACGACGGTAACAGCATGTAAACCTTTCACAATAAAGCTCAAGATCCTGTTGAGACTTTTCAAAATAAACTGAATCACGTGAAAAAGTATGCAGAGATTTTACAGATGAGAAGTAAAAAAGAGCCGCCAGGTGCTAAAAAATAAACCTTAGACTCAAACGTTAGAACAGGCTTTTCCCCGCAGCACCCCATCTAATAAATACTCACAAAGAAAACGCCGGCCGTTACAACTTATGTCTAAAAATATATTGTTTCATGCATCGGTTAAAACACTCAACTTCAGATACACGACGCACAGCTGGAAACACTTCCCGCAAGTCGAGCTGCCCGAGATTCACAGAATTTACAGAAAATGTTAAATTTTTGTGATTTATATCGTTATCAGGACGATAGAATTCTTATATCGGGATATGAGATTTTGGTCGTATCGCACAGCCCTACGCAGCACTGTTGAAAAGGCTCTGGAGGTCCCTGTATTAAGCACGTGAACCTGTCACACAAAAATCACCAAACTCGGACACACACAGACTGTTTTCCTTCGTGGTGATGAAGGAAAACGCTGGGCTGGCATGTAAAAGGGCATTTATATGGTATATCATGGCAACCATGGCAACATGGTATATCATAATTCTGTTGCTGCATTTGCACGTTATGTTTAAACACACATGTGACTCTCCTGCACTATAAACACCTGAGAGCAGCAAATATAATATAAACCTGAGAATTAGTATAACTGTGATGTGGATTTGAACATGGCAGTGCAGGTACTGGCGTCAGGTACACGCTGTGTAGCTAAATTATGCTGGTTATGCTCGACATGTCAGTTGTGTTGTGCACTGATTTTCACATCAAATCATGTGTCACACAACACAAACTTTTTGGTGCGTCTGCTGGTCTCGTGATTTTGCAACTTAATAAGTTGTTGCCACGGCCGCTGCAGTGAACCATCACAAGAGTGTACGATTTTGTTTTTCCTGCCATTTTAATGATGTTCCAGCACAGAAGCTCAGAGATATAAGGATACATAGATGGAGTCGTTGGAACAGTTTGAAAACTTGAGTTTGTGGAAAAAACTTTGCACAACACCCTCGACAAAGAAATCGACACCCTCGATTTCTCCTCTTATATCAGCGCTTATATCATATTATGTGGCAATATTGTCTGAGTGTTCACACCTATCGTTCAGGAGAATACTGCAGCGGCTTGTGCCATTACATGTTTTACTGGATATTTTACCGCAATCAACGCCCCAAAAACCTAAAAATGAAACTACATCTATTGTCTGAAGCCTTTCTGAAGAACACACACACACACACACAAACTGTACATTTAAGCATTTTGAACAGGCTCAAGAGCTTCTGTGTTGCAGAAAGTCAGAGTTTGAGTGTGAGAAGTGTTTGTTTCCTGATCCTGTAGCTGCTATGTTAAGCTAATTATAGCTTACGTACTAATGGTCTAAGCTCTCTGTGAACCCACATCGCTGTTAGTTTTTCTTTTTATAAGGACTTTGTGAGGTGCTGGGATCGATTTGTTTCCTAACATATGTTTAATGAATCAGTCAGTTTAAAGACCAATTACCATAATTGTAGTTTTTCTTCAGAAGAGATCACACATTTTTTTTATATTAAAAGTAATTGAAAGCAGTGACACATTAATTTGTTATTCACATTGTAATTTAGCTTAACAAGTACAAACATTTCTTTGCGGTATTCAGCGTTGTAGTGCTGTCGTGTTAAGCAGGTGCTGATTCTTTATTCTTTCTGAGACAGTAAAGGAGGTGAAAAGACTGATCAAGTGATTGACACAGCCTTATTGTGTTCACAGGTGCAGCTCCAAAGCCACTCGTTCATGTCCTGAACATCAGCGAGGACGAGGCGCTGCTGAAGTGTGAGGTCAGAGGTGCTTCTCCAAAGCCTAAAGTAGAGTGGAGGGACGGGGATGGGAACATCCTTCCTGCTGAGGAGCAGGTGTCACACACAGAAGAGCGCTATAACATCACCCTCCTCACCACGGTGACCAGGACAAACAGCAGCGTCTTCCACTGCGTAGCCACGCAGGAGGAGATGGGCCATGTGACAGAGGATAAGCTCTACGTCGCTTTCTGTGGTAAGATTTGTTTTTTGGCATTTTGTAGAACAAATACCTGTAATTGTTGTTTCTGACAGAATGCTTGGAAGAACCTACTTTCTAAATAACTTGTAGGTTTGTCTACTTGGGAGAACTTTTACTGAACCACAGCAAATATTTATTTGATGTTCCTTTTTAAACATCAGAATTGATAATGGTTTTGTTTTGACCCTTTTGGAATTTTAAATATTGTGTGACTCTGTTAAATTAAAACCTTAATGTGCTTATTCCTCAAATATTGAATTATTCGCTGTGTGGGATTAAAAAGAAAAAACGCACACATGACTGCATTTACCTAGAACTGCCGAGGACGACGTTGTTACCCCATAGAAATTAATGTAAAACTATTAATGCGGCATGCTCGGTTGCCTAGCAACATTATTGTTTACAGACATTGAAGGCTGCTATAATGAGAGCCAGAGCTCTCTATATGAGATTGATAAATGAACATATATGGGACTGTAGTTAAATAAAAGATGAATAATTACTGTCAAGCTGAGGATGAGATTTGAGCAGAGCCAGAGCAGGAAGGGTGGGACTGAATGTGCGAAGAACGGGTGGCTTTGCAGAGCATTGGCGAAAATGCAGATGAACTGAACAGAGTCCAGAGTGTGGAGAACTAATCTGAGCTAATAAAGAGTGAAATCAAGACCAGAATACAGGTTTTCAGGCCTGAGCTGAGGAGGTGAAGCTGCAGACTTAGACTTGTTTGTCAAACCTTAACCAGTGCAGGGGCCTCCCTACACTGGACTCCCTGGACTGCGTTGTGTGATCTTGTGATTGATTGGGGTGCACTGTAGAGAGACCAGTCGGACACAGGCATTCAATTTGTGGCTCGGACCGCCGCGCCATTTATTTAGACACTGGGGCATAAACCACTTCAACTCTGCTACTGCTGGCCCTTGCAAAGCAATCACAGTAAACACTGAACCAAGATAGCGGCCACGCGAACAAGAAACTTACAACTGCGATGTCGTAGTTGTAAGTGAATTGTTCAAAACTAATTCAACTAAAACTTCAAACTTCAGTCTAGTAACACACTAGACTGCAATGGACTGAAATCTTGCAACTACAGGACTGTCTTAAGTTTGCCACTGAAAATATAAGTGAGTCAGAGAAGGCTCGGGCGAAAGTGCTGTGGTGTGATAAAACCATAATCTAGCTTTTCTGCCGTGTTTGGAGGAAGAGAAATGCTCAGTATGACCGATAGAACACCATCCCCACAGTCAAACACAGAGGTGAAAACATTCATCTTTGGGGCCTTTTTTTTTTTTTTTGCAAAGGGTACAGGATGACTTCACCAAGGGGCCAGTAGAGGGGACCAGGTACCGGAAAACCTCTCTTCTTCAGCAAGAACATCGAAGATGAGTAGTAGATGGATGACAATGTCCCAAAACGTATCACCAAGACAACAAAAGAATAGCTAAAGAAAAGGAAAATTAAGATTGCAGAGTGACCTGGCCAGTCTTCAGACATCAATTCTTTAGGTAATCTGAGGAGGGAGCTCAAGCATGGAGGTGCTACGTGAAAGTGAAGAAACCTGAAGGATTTAGAGTTTTTGTAAAAAGCAGCAGGCCAAAATACCTCCTGAGATGTGTGCAAACGTGACAACAAACTATGAGAAATGTCTTATTGTTGTGCTTGCTAGCAAAGGTTTCTCCACCATGTAGTAAGTCATGTGTTGCAGGGGGTCAATAAAATGAAACAACCATAACATTTAGACACGGTTTATTTCTGAGCAAACTTACAACCTCAACAGGGGATTTACCTCACATGCTGTACATGCTGTGACATTGCATAAGCTCATTGAAAATATGCTTTGTTTCAGTGCTAAGTCTAAGCTAAAGGCAGGTTCACAAAATATTAGTGTGCGACAAATTGATCAAAAGATCAATTTGTCAGATTAGAATCTCCAGTGTTTGGTTGTGTTCATTGGATTTAAAGTTTCAAAGCTTTTAGGAGCATTTCTTTTGAGGTTTATTCAATTAATTATATGATTTAAATACATTCTCTGCATCACACAAGGTTTTTGTTATGTCTTTCAGAAAACCTGTTTAAAGGCACATCTGGACAAGTTATCACTGGATTGGCTGTATGTTTCATTGGAATGCTAAGTTTTGCTTTAGTTCTGGCTGTGCTTGTGACTACAAGGACTATCTCAATTCACTCAGGTAAGTTAAAGTAATTATTTAATAATATGCTGTGTAAAGCGACCAATATGTTAAATATATTAATGAATTGTAACATTAATATTGTATTATTAATTGTATTATTACGAGGGCAATCCCAAGAGTAAGGTCTCCTATTGTTTTAGAAATACAAACAACCATTTATTTTCCATAATATTTACATAATTTGAAGGGTTGAAGAATTATTTCTTTTTCTACATAATCACCATTTCGGTCAATGCATTTTTGTAGACGCCGTGGCAGTTTTAGAATGCCCATGTCATATCAGCTCGCTGTCATGTCCTTCATGAAGCTTTGAACCTCATCTTTCACCTCTTCGTCAGAGCAGAATCACCTTCCGGGCAAATGTTCTTGGGGAATTTGGGGAGCAGGTGGTTGTCACTGGGTGCCAAGGCCGGGTTATAGGGTGGGTGATGAGGTTCCAACCAAAGTTTTGCAGGACAGCGACGGTTTGACGGGCAACTTGTGGACAATCGTTGTCGTGGAAAATGCTTACGCCCTTGCTTAACATTCCTCTTCTCCGGTTCTGTATTGCCCTTCTGAGTTTTTTTCAGTATTTCACAGTACCTGTCAGCATTTATTCTGGTCCCAGCAGGCAGAAAGCCGACCAACAATACCCCCTTTCGGTCCCAAAACACAGTTGCCATGACTTTATCAGCAGACTGTGTTTGTTCGAATTTTCACGGCTTGGGCGAAGAGGTATGCCACCACTTGCATGATTGTTGTATGGTCTCAGGTGCAAAGTGGAACCCCCTGATTTTGTCACCAATGACATTCGAGTCCAAGGAGATGTCCTTTTCATTTGCACAGCAGTGAAGAAATTCACGTGAAGAATCAACTCATTACCATGGTCTTCTGTCAGCCTTCGTGGTACCCGTGTTGCACACACCTTCCGATATTGCAACTTGTCTGTTAAAATCCTGTGGATGGTGCTTTGAATTCAATTCTGGATTTAACAGGAAGCCAATGAAGGGAAGCCAAAACAGGAGAAATCTGCTCTCTCTTTCTAGTCTCTGTCAGGACTCTTGCTGCAGCATTTTGGATTAACTGAAGACTTTTCAGGGAGTTTTTAGGACGTCCTGATAATAATGAATTACAGTCGTCCAGCCTGGAAGTAATAAATGCATGAACTAGTTTTTCAGCATCACTCTGAGATAGGATATTTCTAACTTTAGAGATGTTGTGCAAATGGAAGAAAGCAGTCTTACATATTTGTTTAATATGTACATTGAAGAACATATCCTGGTCACAGTGACTCAAAGATTCCTCATAGCGTTACTGGAGGCCAAGGTAATGCCATCCAGAGTAAGAATCTGGTTAGATACTATATTTCTAAGCTTTTCAGGGCCGAGTACAATAACCTCAGTTTTATCTGAATTAAGAAGCAGAAAGTTAG